CTTCAAAAACTTGCAGCTGGTGTGGGAGTGTTCAAAAAATAGGAGGATCTGAGATGTACAAGTGCCGAAGTTGTGGGCTGTAATGGATCGAGATGAAAATGGTGCTCAGGGAATTTTTCTTCGGGCTTTGCTTGATGGAGCCTTGATTCTTTCCGGAGATCATGCAGGAAATAATAGTATTACCTATTATTGATGTATTATAAATCCATCCGTAAACATTTCGTTTAATTTGGTTTAATCTGCGACATTAATAAATTATCAGTAAAATATAATAAAAAGTTTTCTAACCAAAAAAATAACGAAAAGTAATAAGCAGAAATCAAAAAAAAAATTTTAAGCAAAAACGATATGGATTGTGCAACAACACCACCAACAGATTTTGTTAAAACGCGACCTACACATTTTGGGATAATAAAGTGGTGAACATAATCGATAGACACATCTCAAATAGCCAGAAAACGATGACGGAAACTTTTCAATTGCTTTCGCATGTATCTGCTTTTCCGCCATCAGCAATGGCAAAATATACAAGTCTACTCGGATTTTGCTATCAGTACGGAATAGGAGCACCATATTTATATGGAAAAGCATTCGAACTCTACAATGATGCTGCAGGACTTGGGGACGGATTCGCGTTAACGCAAGTAGGAATGTGCTTTCGTCTCGGTTCTGGAATTTCGTGCGATCACGACAGCGCCATAAAGTACTATGAGAAAGCAGCAATAGCTGGACATCCACAGGGCATGTATAAATATGCTGGATATCAGCGCGGGAGAAAACAAGCATTGTGGTATTTAAATGCAGCAGAAAAATGATTCCAACCTGCTATGCTTAAAGTTTCCGGTTTATATAAGAAAGGAGCGTATGTCAATAAAGATTTACATAATGTTTGCGATTAATTTTTCATGCTTTAAAATTGGATAAGCGTAATGCTGCTACATACATATATAGCATTTACTTTTTGAATATGGTGCGAGACATCTTGACTTGCCAATAAAATTGAGTAATTTTAAAGCCTATTAACGCTTTATAGAAAAAGGATTTAAAAAAACTAAACCTATAATATTGTTTATTAGGATATAAAATATTAACTATTGTTCAGTATTTCAAAATACCTTTTAGAAAAATTATAAGCATTTGAACATCATGTATATTTTATATGTTTTATATATCTTTTCATCGAAATTCGAAATTGAAACAAAATTTTATCACGTGAAAAGCATTTTATTGGTTGATAGAGGTCTTAATATTCTTGGGTAGAATTTATATTAGTCTTGTGTAGCATTTATATTAGTCTTGTGTAGCATTCGTATTGATCTTGTATCACTTTTTTGTTGCATTTGTAATTCTTAGAACATATGGCAAAAAAACTTTAACATAGTCAAAAAGATAATAAATGTTCTCTTTAAGTATCTTTAAGTTTAAGTATCTGGATCTAGAAAAAATATCTCTTAATTATTGAAAAGTATTTCATAGCAAAGCTGTATTTAACAAGAATTTATTTAGATATGCCCGCAAAAGCAACACTATTCGATCATCGCGCAAACATAGCTTATGAGTTTGGCATAAACCCAAGAAA